ACTCTCTTAGTGTACATAAGTAGCTATGTCACTCAGCTACGCTAACACGGTGACATCATAATCCTGCATATAAAAGAAATGAGTCTGATTTACACTTGGGAGTCATAATGAGGAGCAAAACGTTCCCCCAAAAAAGCCCAATCTTTTAGAATATTCACAAAACTACTGTATGTTGTACATATATCATCCCCGTTACTTGCTTGCGTGTTAATTGCTTTAATTTTACCATCCCTAAATGAATAAAGAAACTCAATCTCAAAACCAAAACTGATTAATTGACAATGAAATGAAATGAACGTGCTGTCAATTCAAATATAAATTCCAATATAAACATCCACAGTCAACCACAGGCAGAATCATGGTGACATATATCAGCACCGCTAACGACCTTTCTGTTTCTTATTCTTTCCTGTGACAGTAACACATGTTTACGTTCAACTTAAAACAACGAACAGCTTCATCTGGTTGAAATCAATAAAGCTTGGTGAGCTGGCTCTCACGGCTGAGTCCTACCTCCTGAGTCAAGGCGTATAAACCTGATTTTACTGATGTGCCTGCAGCATCCGTAGATTCTCCACTATTGACTGTAGCATCCTTATGAGCTCACAGCATTCATTCAGTTTGTTTATAACCTAATTTTGCAGCCAAATAGAAATATAAAAACAGAAGGGACATTATCAGGCTGTATGAAGATTAATGATGTTTTCCCTCTTCCATTTTGTTTCTCACTCTTTCTCTTTTTTTCCGTTCTCTCTGTATCCTGCAGCCACAACCTGAGGAGTACATCTTTTCGGCATCCAGTAACAGGACAGATTTCCCCTGAAAACACAGAATACACGCTGCAAGACAGGTACATGTGTCTTTTATTGTTTTCCACACAATGCAGCACACTGTTTTATGGAAGGAGAGGTCAGTTGAAGGTCAAGCAGTGGGAGGTTGGAAAATAAACCATCCCTGATAAAGTATGAATGTCACCGTGGGAGAACCAGAAGGATCTAGAAGAGTCAAAACAGCTCCACAACATCTGGAGTTGTGGAGCTGTCTCATGGATATTCAGATATACTGTAGTTGATATAAAGTCCGTTTTAACCCATGTCAGTTGTTTGTCTCGGTGTCCTCACTCATACAGCAGAACCTTCATTCTAATCCAATGTGAATCTTTTTTCCTTTCTGCCCGATGAAGATGACTCCATTTTGACGTGATTACGGTGTATTAATTACTGCCGTGTCATTGGATTAGACCTGATAGAGTGCTAAATACCGGGGTTGCCATTTCATTTATATTCGCAGTGACACAATAGTTAATTCACCCTCTCTAATCTCATCCCTCATCCGGTTAATCCATCAAAGGTGTGTGGCATCTTTAAAGCACAGGATAAACCAGTAGGTGCTTGATGGTATTTAAGGTACCTGGTGAAATCAATCACTACTGAGAGAAAATTCCACCATGTGTGGAAACATGTTGACTTAAAGGCATGTGACCTCTACGTTTTCAGTATGTTTTGTAAGGGCAATGCCAAAACTGAGCGTGCTTTTTTTCCCCACCACGGAACAAATGAGAAAATGAGTTTGAACAGCCTTCTTCTACTGATTATCAAACACGATTAATTTGCTAAATTTACAATGAATTGCTAATTCAAAACACCTAAGTTCCTGTGTAGCAGAAGATGCAGCAGCATTGTCTTTCGTCTTGCTTGTTGTTGTGTGATATGAAATATTGCTTCTCTCCACCACATGCCACAGCAAATCTCTGGGGGAACTGCCTCAATGACAGAAGCAATAAAGCGAATGAAAGCTTCACATAAAACAGCTGAGTTCATTCATGTGACAGAAACATCCTGTGATAACGTTATCTGTTGTTCACACTGAAAACACTGTCAGGTTATGGTCTCTCTTTTCTGTCTGTGGACAGTGTAGAAGTGGCTGCAGAGAGTCTATGTGAATAGGTGTTCTGACTCCATTTATGAGGAAAATGTTTATTTATATAAGTGATAAGTTAATAATCTCAAGTTCTTCATCCAGGTCCTGTAGATTTCCAAGTTGTTCCCATTTATCCATGTAGAGGAAAATAACCAATATATCAGACTTGATGTCACCCACTATATTTGTTGGAGGGCTGGAAATTTTCTGGACAGACACCTTATGGGCTGGACGTTGGAATAAAATAAATTCAGTCAAGTCAAATTTTTGTCTAACATTATTTTTTTATGTTTAGTTTGGAATGCCGTCATGGGCCGGATTGTGTGGTTTAGTGGGCCAGATTATAATCACTGCTGTTGTCTGTTTCTACCCATCAGTCTCAGCGAATTCCTGCGTTGTTAAGTTCTGGAGGGTTTTGTATCACACTAGGTCAGAGCTGTCTTTCATGTTTTGGAGAAAAAAAAGAAATGAGATACAAAAAACGTTGTGTGACATTAACAGCGCTGTAAAATCCCAATGTCAAAAAAATGTAAACACAAATACAATGAAGCTACATTTCATTTGTTCATTTCATTTTTTTTTGTTTGTAAAAATACAGAACCAAACAACTGTTATTTTTACGGTAACATTGTGTTGAGTCATATATTTCTTTGTAGAATTTATAGACAAAAATTGAAAAAACCAACAAACAGTACAATTAAAATTACAAAACATCAGTGTTAAACCACCAGTTAGAAATTCTAGTAATACTTTAAAGAGGAATAGAGAAGAAAATGTAGACTACAAAAACAATGGGGGCATCTATTTTTGTTCCCCTGGAGGAAATTTCGAATTGCTTTTCAACAGCTTTTCATCTGTTGAAATACATCATTAATTTTAATACAGGGGTTTCTCTGACACTCTCATTGGACTTCACAGGTTATGAATTCTATAGTAATGCTGCCTGTTTCAGTGTAATTAATGTACTTCACATTGAAAAGCGTGGACATGTGTGCGTTTGTCCAAGTGCCAGGTCGTGTGACAGGTTGTGCAGCTGTGTCAGGAAATGACCATATCCTTTAAACGTGAAAGCTCAGCCGATGGATTTTCTGTCCAAGTGCATGTGTCTGTGAGGGAGGACGGTTCATCTTCCGTCTTTCTGTTTTCATATTTGTCACCTACACTGTCCTCTCTCCTGCAGAATAGAATTCCGCATGTCCAAGTCAGCAGTCAACCACAGGTCGCCCAGCATGGTCACACAGTCCACCAAGGAAGTGACCCCAGCAGTGTTGGAGGCAGCCTCAGGGTCAAAGGTGAGTTTTAAGTGTTTTTCCATTCAATCTCAGCTCTTTCCTGTAGAGTGTCTTGAGCTGCTGGTGTTTTACTGTGGAACCTAATCTGTGAGAGAGACACGTTGTGTGACTGGGGTTCTCCATTTGATGAATTCACCTCATCAACCTAAAGACATGATCTTTCTTTGATTAATGGTATCATTGGGCAACGGTTCAAGTATTTCAGTATGCTCATAATCCTCTCCCTGGTGACCTGGGAATAGATCTGAATCCAGTTTGACGGATTTGTTGATGTTGTACAAAGTACAAAGTAGAAATGAGTGCAAGCAACAAAAATGCATCAACATCATGAGGACTAAAATACACAACTGGCAACAAACCTAAATCAAAGAAATGTCTTTGGGTAATGAACAGTGTGACTTGACCTTGTACATGACCTGACGTGAATATAAATGTTTGTACTGTCAGTGCAGAGCATCGTAAACGGAGCGTTAGCCTGTCACCAAGCTTTGTTTTTGTTTTGAAAAGACTGAATATTAATATAGTTTGGTGCAATATATGTTGACAGAAACGGAGGTAACTGACTTTGCAGTATTTTATACAACAGCCATCAGTAAACACATATCTTTTTTTTTTTTTTGCAGAGCTCACGAGGTTCAGGGAAAGTGCACAGTTTTGGAAAAAGGGATCATTCTATTAAAAGAAACCTCAACGTCCCGGTGGTGGTGAGAGGTTGGCTTTATAAACAGGTGAGCTGCAGCCAATCTCAGGTCACTCTGCGGATCATGTTGATGAATAGAAGAAATATCACAGTCCAGAATGTCAGTGTGATACATCTTCTCTGTGAAGAGTGCAGTTTGTCACGCTTAAAAAAAACAAAAAAACTTAACAGCGAGAAAAATTCTCTCTCAGTGTGTGTTTGCTGTGACCTTGTCAGCTCAAGGTGAACGTGACAGTTGATATCATCCTTCTCTGCCTTAAAGCTTTTACCACTAATCACTTATTTTATCCAGACTATGATGTATGGTAATAAAAAAAGAATATTAAGAGTGTCCTTGCTGTGCACAACCTTAGGAGTCGTTCAGAAAAAATCTATTACATGAGGGTTTTTTTTCCCCATGAGAAGGATGTCTGAGTCCAGTCATGTTGTGTTTGACCTCCAGGACAGTTCCGGAATGCGACTGTGGAAACGGAAGTGGTTTGTTTTGTCAGACTACTGCCTGTTTTACTATAAAGGTGAGTCTGTGAAGTTACTTTTTAGTAAGAGTTGAATGAATTTTAGTGCTTGTAAAAAAAAAATGTGATTGACAAGTAAAAAAAATCTGACTGACATGAACAGCCTGGTCTTTCTGCCACTTCTCGGTTTTTGACTCGAGTGTTTTGTCGTAGGATGTGAATTGTGCTCACGTTGCCATAGCATCCGTCTACTTCTCTTCCCCTTCAATTAATCACACTGAATAATGGATCACGCCACACGCCACCTTGTGCCACATGTTGACTCATGGCCACACACATCCAGCCCAAAGTCAGACACGAATTATTTCACGCTTACCTGCTGATCTTTCTGCTGGTCATAAATCATTTATTCACTCCCAACAACGTAGAAATCAATAAACTTTGAACATTTTCTTGTTTTTTTGTTGCTGAGATGCTTTAAAATAACATTTTTTTTCTCTTTGTTTCGTCTTCACAGACAGTCGTGAGGAGGCGGTGCTGGGCAGCATCCCTCTCCCCAGTTATGTCATCTCACCTGTTGGCCCCGACGACCACATAAATCGCAAATACGCTTTCAAGGTATCACTGAAGTGGTGCTGGATTTTTATCCCACATGAACTGCTTTATCTATCGCTCCTGATACGGTGACATTTTATGTTGTTTTCACACTAATTTCTCTACATCTGTGCCAATAAAACAGCGCCTTTAACGGCGTAGTTTAAAAAAACATTAAATTAAATATACTTTTATTGTTCATATAAAACACACATTGTTTTCCCTAGGTATTTTATACACTCAAATGGTGTAAAAAATAAAGAAAAAAAAATTGAATTCCCAGAGAAGGAGCAGGAATAAAAAAAACATTAATTCCCGCTTGTTCAGCCTTGATTTAGGAACATCCAGAACCATCTGATGAGTTGACACAACGATTTGAAATGGACCATTTGAAACCCTAAGAAAGGGCATAAAATCCTGAAATAAATCCTTAAGTGGGCAGGGAGCCAGCCGGAGCACTGAAGCTAAACTGGAGTCGTGTGATATTGCTTTCTGGGATATCGAAGTTATGTAATCCTTTTCAAAGGGCATTTGGGGAGAAGGGCACATGTTTCCTGGTAAGATTTTGAACATTTTTATTTTAGATTATTTTTCTTAGAAAATAAATTAAATTCCCAGTAAACAAATCTGAATAATATATAGTATCTGGATATATATATTTTTAATAGCAGCAAAGCCTGTCTTTATGGATTACACCTATTGCTACAGAGGTGCTGCCTGTACCACTGACTCATCGTGTTGCACTGTCTGACTGTCTGACTGATCGTATGTCAGTCTGTTTAAGCTGTTCCACAATGTGTTGGAGAGGAGACAGCAGTGCATTCTTTATATGCACAAATATACTTTGTTCTTTTGCAGATATTTGAGTAGACGGACCGTGTTCGGTAACAGTGCTATCATCACTTGACGGATTTTCTTTCTTTCTTTTTTTGTTGCGAATTCTGCCCGAGGACATCAAAAGGATTTACTGCATGTCTTTTTTTGATGTGAACAGAGAGACAGTTGAGTTCTGTCCTGCTCCTCCTCTGGGGAAACACAGAACTAGTTGAAAGGAACAATGGTACCTGAATGTTTGATGCACCACTGCAGCTTCAAGGCGCTCTGTTGCAGTTCTTCACTTTCTTTGTACCCCAGCTTTTTATGTTGTCAGAGTGAGTCTGTGTGTGTAGAAGAGAGTGTGCGTGCCTGTTTACTACACTGTAAACAGACTCTTTCTCTGAGGAACGTTTTACATACAATGGCATTTGTGTGATAATTGCTCAGCAGAGAGACTTCATTACACATTCAGTCTTTTTCTGCGTCTCCTCCCGCCCATCAGCTGCAGAGGTTTGAGGAAATGAGCCTCCCAGTATTTAAGAGGTTCTTATTTCCCTCCCTCTCGCCCTCCCTCCCTGCCTCCCTCCCTCCCTGAGCTGTCATGCGTTACAGAGCAGGAGATTTCATTATGTGCATTGCATCGAGGTGCTTTGGAAAATCTCAGTTACTGCATAGTAAGCATGCGGCTGCTCCGTACACAGTGCGTTTGACAGAGGGCTGCTCTTGTTTCTGTTGCAGCCACTCACATGTGCAGTAAATCACAGACTGCAGTGTGCCGTGCCTCTGAAGTTGTGTGTTGGAATAATTATTCACTAAATTGATTTGTTGGGCAGCAGATGAGTGCAGACGAGGTCAACCCAGACCACGCTGTTCAGTGAGCTTCCTATTTACGTGATGTGTTTAGTACGTTGTCTCATTGATTTCTAATAATATTTCCTAATGAACTAAGACAGAGAGACTCTGGTGTTCTGTGACTTGGTTTTGTTTTTCTGTTATTTTCCCCCCCTCCCCCCGCTCATCTCACTGTGTCTCTCTCATTCCCTGATGGTCAATTGCCTTCCATTGTGACCTGGGTGTGTGTGCACGGGCGGAGTGTGTACTGTTATCTGCGGGCGGCCATCCTGAATCACACAGGCTTCCTGTCTTGCATGAATAGGTATTTGTTTCACTTCAGCCTCCTCCGTGGCCAGCCCTCCTCAGCTGCTGTCATATTCACCTCATCTGCTTTTACGTCATTCTCCCGGGTGGTGAATCCATATCAGTGAATGTGCATTAACATTGCCTACAGTCATGGCCAGATCAGCAGACTCCCAAATATAGTTGGTGACTCCTGCTGCAGAGGAAGTGCAGTTTGTTATAGTAAACAATTTTTCTCATAACATTGATTGGACAAATAACAGGAATGAAAGTCAGCACACGCTGGTCTCTTTGCATGTGACCTCGTACCTATCTGACCATAGTCAGATACACACAGCCTGATGCAAACCTGCTGTCTGGTTCCTATTTCTATCTTCAACATTGATAAACACGTGGGATGTCATTTGAGTGAAGATCCGTTCAGCTGTTTTCCTGCTTCTGGATTAAGGTGTTCAGTCTCATGACAGTAACCCATCTGATATCCAGAGTGTGGTGTTGTCTGTGTGTGTGTGTGTGTGTGTGTGTAACTTGTCTTCTCCCTTCACCTTTCCATGAACCAGTAACAGCAGCTGACACTGCCTCAAACGCTTGCTTACTTTGTAACTTTTTAAAACATTGTTTTTGTGGTGACCAGTAACTTAGAGAACAGTTGACTGGATTGATGTGTTGCCAATACCAGCTTTGTCAACATCAAGGGGTAGTTTTGCAGTCTTTTAATATATTTTTTTTATCTCCATCCTCTCTGCTCTTAATCTGTGTCTTTCACAGGCGACCCACACGGGAATGCGCTCCTACATTTACAATAAGAACTCTGTGATTGGCTCACAGGCAGAACACTGCGGGATGCGGACATATTTCTTCAGTGCGGACACACAGGAGGACATGAATGGCTGGATCCGGGCCATGAACCAGGCCGCGCTGATGCAGCAGACTCACACTATAAAGAGGTTCGTCCAGTTTGATAGAGCAGCTGTATTATTTAATCACGTTGTGTTTTCACAGATCTGGGTATGATTTTAGATGAAAAGGATAGTTGTTTGATCACAGCCTCCCCCATTGGCCAAGTTAAACAGACTGATCGCACATAACACCCCCTGAACTGTTGTGTCAAGGTCTGTAGAAGAAAAGGTTGATAAAACAGGAGCAAAACATCATGAGAGCACCTCAATAAACAGGAGCAAAACATCATGAGAGCACACTTTGGAATTTTATATTCCATAGTGTAGTGGTTATCACACCTGCCTTACATGCAAAAGGTCCTACGTTCAAGCCCCAGAGGAACCACATATTAAATGGCACTCACTCTGTAAATTTCCCTGTTGTGGGACAAATAAGGGACTTTTTCAATATTCATTTTATTGAGTTATTCGTTGTTAAATCAGAGATTTCTTTTTTCTTAGAGATGTGGAAAAGGCAGAGAAAATTGCACAGCAGGCCGTGCCACAGAGCAGCCATGTCCACATTCACCGCAACACATCTCAGTCAGAGAGTCTTCACAGAGCTGAGAGGAAGCAGACGTGTGACAATGGTGTCAGACTGGGTCATGGCGAGGAGATGAGGTTTGGATTAGAGATTCAGGCGAGGTCCTGTCAAAATGAGGAACCAGTGGAGGAACTCTCTCCTGACTCCATGAACGGTGCCACCCACAAAACTGGACAGCCAACTGTGATCCAGGTCACTCTGCCGCCAGAACAAAATGGAAATGTGGTCTATCAGAGCGGCTTTGTTTCTCAAACAGACACTGAGAAACATGTGCAGAGGAAAAGTACGTTGGCACACGTGGAACAGTGGGTCAAAGTTCAAAAAAGGGATCCACCAAAGAGGTCAGTCCTAGTCAACATTATCAGTTTGATGTAACAGCAGTATGAATCATGAATTGAATTTCCTTGAGTAAATGCTTCCCTCTAGTGGCTAAAGTAAGCATATGTAAGAGCGCCGTGATGTCTTGTAATATCGTATGATTTATCTGTGATAGCTGTGTGATAATAATTTAAATAAATACATTTTTCTCTGTCTCAGTGCTCCTACTGCAGAGTTCAACCTCCCTCGGCGAACTCCCCCCTTAAAGCCCAAAGCCATCAATGTGGACGCCTCTTACCAGTCTTTGCCAAAGTCTTCTCGTCTTCCATCTGGCAACAACTCTCCTCCAACAACCTGTAAACTCCCCAGTGACTACAAGTACGCTCACGATCGCCTCAGCCACTTCCGCATGTCCACTGAAGAGCGAATGGCTGCTAAGGAAGGGATGGTTTGGCAACTTTACGAGTGGCAGCAGAGGCAACAGTTCCGACACGGCAGCCCCACTGCACCCGTCTACACCGGCCCCAACTTCACAGACTCTTCATCATTCAGAGTTACCGTCGAGATGCCCCGGTCCATTTCTGTCCCTCCGTCCCCCTGTGAAGTCCCACCATCTGTCCCGTCCTCTTTTAAACCCCTGTCCCCCCGCAGGCCACACACGCCGTCCAACAGACGCACAGTCAAGCCCCTAGATGAAGTGGCGTCAGGGGACAACACACGAGCCAGTTCACCTGGACATATCTGTGCACATCTTTCTCAGGTAAGTCGCCTACTTGATGTGCCAATACATCTTCATTGAATAATTCATTGTATAATATGTAAAGCCTAAATATAAGTCAATATCACAACATCACAAGGGGCTGGAGACCCTCCCAGTTAATACAAGTCTATTCACAGTTTTACCGTTGTCAACTTAAAGTGAATATTGAACCAAATTCTGCATTTTCATGGTGAAAACCTACACACACACAAAAGGACAACATGTAAACAGACGTTTTTTCATCAACTACTGAAGCTTTTACTTACAAAGGCTGACTTAATTTTATCTTATATATACAGTATAATATTTCTACAAAACTAGCTGTATGCTTATGTTGAAATGATACAGTGCCTTAAGAATCACCAGGTATCAGAATCAAAATAATTGAATATATTCTAAACTTCAGAAAAGGAATTGACAAAGCTCACCAATTATTTATTATTATGATTAATATTATTATTTTTTATTAATAATGGTAAACATGGTTAAAATGGATTTATTTTTAGTTATTATTTTTTATTAATAATGGTAAACGTGGTAAAAAAAAGATTTATTTTTATATATTTTATTAGATATATTTATTAGATTTATATAAAACAATGTGGTGCAAACGCACTTGAATCAATGAACAGAGCTTTTAAATGTGTACTTTGCGCCACCTACCGGCCACAAGCTAAAGCTGGCCTTATCTGTACAAAAGTGCATATAAATGTGCTTGTCGTACAGACATTAAGGATATTTCCCTAAAGAAATTGAATTTTTTTCTTCTGAATTCCCATGTCTACATGATAATTAATAGAAGTTTTCTAAAACAGTGATTAACAGAGAAACTGCTGTGAATGTTTACACCATGAAACAGTTGTTGGTTTTCTATTTTTTTTTAAAGTAAACTCTCACCCTCAACTACTACCGCTGCACAGATACCACCCTTCATCAAATAATCAACTCCCACTCGGCGGTGCTTTCTGCTTGTTGACACAGTCACCCTCTCCCTCCACAGCAGTCTGTCATTGGCCTGGGATTTGAGTAAAATTTGCGATTTCACACGAAGAGAGGCAAATATAACAAAGGTCTCCTTCTCACAGTAGCTCTGGGTCAAGAGTGTGAGGTGCCCATTGATGTCAGTGTGAAGGGTGTGTTGAGCTCACAATGAACCATGGGAAGATCATAATGTGGAGCCTGAGAAGGCTCCAACCTCTCTGTGTTCACACTTTGATGCTCATGTGAATCACTCGCACATTCACACAGTCCACGCCCAGGACGACTCCACAGGTGGCGCAGGCGCATGCGGGCAACGGCTCATGATACCGCAGCGCTCCGACTGTAGCGCTATCGCCGCAGTAGACGGAGCGAGGGGACATCCTACCGTCCACACCCTGCGCTGCCTCCCCACCACACCCTCCACATGAGAAAAGGCCTCCCTCCAAACCCTCACCACATTCACCAGCACACACAGGCCTCCTAACCAAGCCGTTAGTGTTACACAAGTAAACGCAGATGCTGTGTTTTCTCCATCATTCACCCTGGTGTCAGGACAATAATTACAGCAGAGTGAATTACAATTATGGAGAAGAAAATAAAAAAAAAGAAGAAGAAGCTGTGGCAACAAAGGCAGTCTGTGCAAGATGATTAAAGTGAGAGGAAGGTCCCTGAGAATGAAATTCAACTGATTTTTACAAACTACTGTTTCCATGTTAGATCCAACTTACCTAGTACATCACCTAAGAATAACATATAAGGATTTGACACTCAAAATTAATACAACCAATATGCTGGGAGTTTCCAGGTAAGCAGGTAGGTAATGTGTTTGGGTGGTAATATTTTGGTTCAAAAGGCTGTGTCTATGCAAAGTAAGAAAGGCTGATGGCTCACAGTGTCTGGTAAACTAAAGTAAGTTGTCTTCAGGGCTGTGAAACAGTCTTTAGTTGATAGTGAGAATTCAGGAAGTGAGGAAAAAATTATTTTTTGGTTACATGAACTTCTCATACTTTTTTGGTCATTCCCCAATGTGGGGATTTTCAAGCTCCAAATGTATTAAGTAAGTGACACCAAGTAACTTCATAAGGGGATTTTCAAGCTCCAAATGTATTAAAGTGACACCAAGTAACTTCATAGTTTATAATGAAAAAAAAATCAATAAGATCAAATAACACAAAGTTTAAAAAAAGAGAAAATAAAGTTGTGCCATCATCACTTCAACCTTGAAAATGTCCTCCTGTTTGTCGGTCCACCTGGTATCTCCGTTCCTCACCCCACACTTTGAGAAGCACTGACTTAAGGAAATATCTAAGACAAAATATAGAGGGCATAAAAACAAAAAAAAATTAATATCAAATTTTTAAATTAATTCCTCGTTGGTCAGCGACACTAAAGCTATGTTTTTGGAAATCTCTCTCTTTCTAAAATCTCTATATAACGTACTTGATACTTGATAAATGAGCCAGGCGTCGGTGCACCCAGCTTCTTCTCTGTGGCTGTACTGTGCGTAGGTAATAGCGATGTGAACCTCTGTGGAATTTCCCTCAGAAGTGTGTATTATTAGTGGCTAATGTAAAGGGCCCAGGGCTCCAAGGCTCCCTGATAAACATCTCTGCTCCATCTCGAACATCAGCAGCCGTCTCTTTCTTCTGATCTCCCATTTAAATAAAAAACCTATTATACAGCAAAAATATAGTGGCATGGGAATCTCAGAGGGAATGGCTTACAGTGCTTCTCTTGCTGGTAGCAAACAAATGTTATTTTAGGAACGCAGGTTTGGTATAATTTATGTGTAGTTAATTAAATCTCTTGTTGTTTGTGTCCTTTTATGGTTCTGGGGTTCAGGCCTGGTTTTTCACTTATTCTGTGTGTTAAGCAAAAACGTCAAATTTTCTAAGCCCTGCAGGATCGAAAAAACTTGGGGCACACCTTGTTGGGAGAAGATGAGGGTTGATGAAAGGGAGAACAGGATAGATGAAAATATAAATCTGCTGCCTAGTCAGTTTTGTTTGAAGACTTGGGGGCAGTGGTTTTACTTTTCATTGGAAGTGAGAAGAGTAATTCCATCTCTGTTTGTCCACAGACTTCCCACTTACAGAGGAGGTCGGTACCAGCCATGGGCTACATCACGCACACTGTCAGTGCTCCAAGCTTACATGGAAAAACGGTACGACCCCTTCATCAACCTTCCCTGCATATCCTCACAGAGTCTTGTCATCGTTTTACTGATGTTCACCACAGTTTATCCAGTGAAACATATGGATAACTGAAGCATCTAGAGCAGTGGTTCCCAACCTTTTTAAGCTTGTGACCCCCAGCATCAGTTTGTCATTTTTCTAATGAATTACTAGCCATTTCAGGTGACACATTTAAATTCCTTGTGACCCCAGACCGGGTCGCGACCCCAAGGTTGAAAAACACTGATCTAGAGATAAATGTAGAATCTAGAGGTGACTGAGCTACTGTGAAATGTTATTGTCCTACGGTTGTGATCATCCTTGAGGCCAAAGTAAATAATTCCATGTATCAGCTCTAGCTTTTACATTTGTTCACATGTGCAGTGGACATCCCAGGCTCTTGGCTCTCAGTAGTGCTTTGCAGAAGCCTCTTTTCTACGTACATGGTTCTCAAATATTTTCTCTCATCCCCTCCTCTGGGTTTTCACTGGCCTTCTGGCCCCCTGAACTCTGGGTTTGGCTACAGCCAGAGGAGTTGACTCTACTCCTCATTCAGCTTCGGAGGCATCAGGCCAAGATGGCCAGTGTGCATAGTCCCAGCTATGCGTTCGCTCACCTGCAACACCACCAGCACAACGGCCTTCTGGGTCCCAGCATGCAGGTCAGGGGCTCCTATACTGGCCCTTTACCCTCTTCAGCAAACTGTATTGTCAGTAAACACCAGTGCATTGTGGTGCCCACCACCCTTGCCAGTCCCATTCGTTATATCCCATTATGCATCAAAGACTCCATGCCTGCTGGTCTTGTTCATTAATATTGGCCTGGACTGCTAAGACAGACATTTAGCTACACTGTCGGCTAATATTAGCTTGTTTTTGATATACTCTTGTATGAAACATTTAAGGCATGTATCTTGGTAACTGTGCCTGTGTTTAATATTTCACATTTACATGTTCTGTGGTGTGCATAAGTCTGGTTTCACCGCAAAAAAAAAAAAAAAGACCATGGGTGAAATGTTTAGGTAACAGAACTTCAATTCAGTCGATGACTCAAACTAGGTAAAATACAGACGAAGTTTGTTAGAAATAATAATATAATAATAGCTGTCAGTGCTGCAGAATTACAAACAGTGGCCATGTTTATATTTGAATGAACATATAAAATAAAATAGGAGAATGTCCTCTAAACTAAAGACTGGTTCTAAAATGTAATATTTGGTAAGATTTATAATACTACACGTGTCCATTATTAAGGATGATGTATCTGGCTCCTAGGGTAAAAAAACATAAAAGTAGCCACCAGTGAAGACTTGTGCACACCACCGTACATCTGTGTCCTCCCTGATCAGTCTTCAGTCATCTGCAGCAGCCGTCAGGCCACAGTTTCTGTGAAGAATCTGTTTGTAAACAGTGGAGCTGCTGCGGTGCTGAGCCCTGACAGCTCCACCCTGTTTGTAACCATCCAACCATACTCTGGCCATTCTCTTCTCTGAAGGAGCGTAAACACCACATGTCATGCAACCGACCTGTGTCGCATGTCGTAGGAGTTCAGACATGAGACATCGAACCATCTCAAAATCCACGATGATCTAATTACAGTTTGGTTTTACACTCTGTAGATAAAAATACAGAGGTGAGAGTGAACTGTAATTAGGTCCCTGTTAATTAAAGTTCACTGGGCGAAGCCTAAACGGCTAATAAAGGCCTTACGAGTCAGTCTGGTTACCCATTATCCTTTGCATCTTCATTTCAAATGACTTATTTCTCCACTGCTCATTTCAAGGCTGATGATACTTACATACAACTGAAGAAGGACCTGGAGTATCTAGATCTGAAGGTGGGCCCCAGCAACCAAGTCGCCACTCTCATCCTTCCCATCTCCTACTTGGTTTCCCGTCCGTTCTGTTCCTGTAGTTGTTCCTGCTCCTCTCTGTCTTTTCACTGTTCTCTTTCACTTCCTACTGTCAGCGTCCAGTGGAGCTAACACCATGTCTTATCACCCGAATAACACAACGTCACAATGAGTTGATAGTCGATCTGACCAGAAATCCAAATTGACAAGATTAAAGGATACCTTTATGTTCATTTTCCACTATGATGCATGTGTTGACCTTGGTTGACTTGGAATCGGAACAGGAATGGAAAGAGACGCACTTTAAGACATGATGTTTAATGATAGTTTATTAATAAACAGTTAAGTCATTTCTGAATTCAAAGTCATTGTGCCAGTTTGATATCAATGGACATAGCCTGGTTTTATAATTTATAAAACTCTAAACCTCCTCTCTCAGTTCTGGTCCACACTTTCCTACTTTTACTCCTGATCCTGGTCCATTCTGTTGACTTATATTTTTAAAACTACAAATTGACTACAATTTGATTTAGTCCTCGCACAATGGGTTTGAATCTCTAGTCCAGGTGTTTGCCACTGCTGCAGTGTAACAGTCATTTCCATCATTAAGCTTCTCGTGTTGAATGGGATGCATTTGGGGAAATTGAGAAAGATTTCCCGCTTGTTTGACCTGTGAAGCTCAAAGCTCGCTTTGAGATGTGGACTGACCGACAGGAAGTTGTCATTCCAAAGCATTTACTGCATGCTGTTTGCTTTGCTGAATGAAACTGAATGTCTTAGTGGGTTTAGGTTACGATCATACGGATAAGTCTTTACAAAGACAAACGTTTACACATTAACTACATGGAAAAAGTGGACATTGGTTTTAACATAAAATTCTTTGGAGAAACAAATCCGTGGCTTAAAAGGAGCTTCATATGAAATGGAAATCAGTGAATAAACAGATCAGATAAACAAAATCTTCCTTTTCATTTTACTGTAACAGAAACATATAACATATATATATTTCTAACAATACATTCAGGTTAAAACGATATCAAACAAAGCCAATCGAAGATGCACCCTGAAATGATGCATGTTATTAGCATGTTTAAATCAGAATAAAGAACCTTTTCTGTTTTGTTGCATCTACTGAATGACATAACCCAAAAGATAGATGCAGATTATTACGACAATTATTTTCTTTTATTTGATGAAGTTATCTGTTGAATGTAAAAAACAAAGTTTAAATCCTTCATCCTTAAATTTTTCCATCATGATTTTTAATTTGAAGATTTGAAGCTCTTTTTCTTCTAAACAAGTCCTAAAAGTATATTAAATCATTAACTAAATGTGACATTATTATTGTATTTGATTGTGTATGTAGCCAGCACCTGACTTTGGTGCCTCCACTACAGCCACCCGATTGTCCCGTCCACTTTTTACATACAGTCAATGGCTTTAGCAGCCTTTTTATTTTTCTGCTTCCCATTCATTTCATTTGTCATGCAGTCCCCTGCTGTATGCTGAAGACATGCACACGCTCTGTTCCAGCAACTGGCAGCATGGACTTCTGCGATATGTCAGTTCTGTCGTCTGATTACTGATGATAAACATTTGATGTGTGGCTGTTGGGGATTTTAGGTCACTGGACGAGAGAGTTTAAAAAAACAAAGACCCTCCAGGCCTGTGAAAATAGCAGAGAGCGATGCTGATGTAAGTGAATCATCATGGTGTAAGGAAAAAAAAGAAAAAGAAAAAGAAAACCAGTCTGATAAGAACTTTGTTTATGCGCCTTTTTCTTTTTCTTAAGATCTCCTCCTCTGAGTTCTCCACTACAGAGAAGCAACTGACTTTACTATGTGTTTTAGTGTGGGTTTTTTGTGTGGATGTGTGTTTGCGTGTGCACTTAAGTTGTGGTAAACAGAGGCGGCGAGGGGAAGGGAACGTATGTACACTGCAACACTGTGGGGACATCCATACACACTGCACAGTGAGGGCCTGGAAGTACAGACCACAGCTTTTATTTTTTCCTCCCTGCAATTTAAAGAGAAAAATACATGTAATGGGAGTTTTAGATGTTGAGCTGTTAAATTTTTCAGTTTGATTTGCCTTGATTTCTACTCGTTTCATTCTTTGTTTTGTGCTGAATGGAGGTAAATCAGATGGATGTCCTGGCTTTTCATCATTAGCATTGTTCCACTTTAACAATTTATAAGAAATTGCCAGTAAATTTGTCCACTCCATAAATATTTCATGCAATTAAAAACAACAATATACGGCAGCGGCAAAAATATAAACAGCTTAATAATTAATTGAACAGAATAATAAATAGATCTGAGAAGGAAAAAAAAATCCACTGTGTGCGAAACACTGTGAAGTCTGCAATCTTCTGCTGTTTTCATAAACACATAACCCATTTCTGGGAAAACAAATCTGCTACTTTCATTTACCATGTTTGTTTTGCACCAAAAGTGAATTTAAAAGTATGGATTTTTGATAATGATTACTCATAATGGGTGTCAGCACAAATAAACACCAAATTTGACATTTAAAAAAAAAAAATCTTTTGGAAATTCTCACTACACCGACGCAAAGAAATCTTCTAGGATTTGTATCCGGACCAGTCTGACTGACATATTTACACACAGTGAAGACAGTAGTCGATCAATTCGTCTCATGTGGCTGCGTTGGTGAAAACGAGTGGAACAAAGGTTAAATAAACAGTCAATATTTGTTCTGAACGGGCTGCATCTCATTAGTCCATTCAATTTTCTATTCCCTTTGTTTTTCTATGCGTGATAATATAATAAATTACCAGCCAATGACCTTCACTGTGTGCCATTTTAAGGCTGTGCCATCTCTGCATCTTTAATGTCCTGCCACCTTGTTTATTTAATGTTGTCACCTTCAGGTGAAATTAAGTCGACTGTGTGAACAAGACAAGATTCTTCAGGATCTGGAGGCCAGGATACGCACTCTGAAGGAAGACAAGGTTTTCATTTCATACTCATATCTGTTCAAGTCGTTGGTCTGTTGTGTGAGAAGTGTTTCGGTTACAGCTGTGTTTTTATAACCATATCAAGGACAAGCTGGAGTCTGTGCTGGATGTTTCCCACCAGCAGATGGAGCAGTACAGAGATCAGCCGGCCCACACTGAGAAGATCGCCTATCAGCAGAAACTACTACAGGAGGACGTGGTGCACATCAGAGCTGAGATCTCCACAGTCTCCACAGTAAGATCTAGACCGGACTCACTCACATTTTTCACTTGATCCTTGTATTTTATCGAAGTTCAATTTTAAATTCTCTGCTTAATTAAATTAAATGTCAGAAAATGTAATTTAAAATGTTCAAATATTATCACTTCATTTATCACAAACTTTAATGTATGAACATTATTTTCTATTTTATTTATTTTTGTTTTCCTCAAATTTCACAGTTTGACATTGTTCCTAATGTATTTTCACTCTGATACTGATCTCACTGTATATTTAGAGTTGGACAGGAGCTGTGTTGGGGAGAGGTCTGACTAACAATAAGTCAAAGTGAATTCAGGTAAATCTATGATTTTTACTTTCTTTTGCAGGAAATGGAGAACGCATGGAATGAGTACAACCGTCTGGAGAGAGACGTGGACTGGCTGAAGTCTACGCTGCAGGGACAAATGAACCGCTGTGACCTGACACAGGTCAGGCATCATTATTGTGTTTGTCTGATGCAGTGCGCAGTGCGCTGACACGTTTGCATGTCTGTGTGTTCCTCTGAGAGCAGCAGGAGAAAGTCCAGATCAGAAAAGAGCTGTGGAGGATTGAGGACGTCATCGCAGGTCTCAGCTCCAGCAAAGCCAACTTTAAAGTCACCATCTCCTCTGTTACCAACCCAGGTGAGATAAGAGCCTCCTGTAGGAGCTGATCATCGTCTTGGGTTTGCTGTCTGATCTGTGCAGCTGTATCTTATTATTAAAGCTCTTAATCAGACACTAATACACTGAACATCTCCCGTGAGGAAAGTAAGTGCTGTCTTTACTGTGCCTGTGTGTGTGCTTGTGTATGTGTGTGTGTTCAAGTTACTTGTTCATATACAATCATTTCCCCCAGAGAAGAAATTTGTGCCTTCAGTGTCGGCATCATCAGTGCCTTCTGTGTCTGGGAGCCCGTCTGCTATGGAAATGAGACTGTCCCACTCCCAGCTCCAGCACAGCCCCCACCTCAGCCCCAGCAGCCACACCCCCTCCCTGTCTTCCAGCCCCAGCTTGCACCACTCTGCTACCATCAGCAGTGGCTTTAAATGGGTGAGTGGCCTCATCCACAGACGTAACCTTAGCTTGTTGTTACAAACTACACATTTGTGACTCAATTTAGAATCGTAAATAATTAATGAACATAATGGCATAAACCTTGAAATTATTTTATATATATATAAAGTTTAGTTTGTAGTTTAGTATTCGTATTTAAAATACATATTTAGTGTAAATAATCATCCTACTTCAGGAAAACCTGATAAATTACTGACCAATTTACCAGTCAGTGTAGTTGCAAATATATGAGAAACAAAGTCAAATTTTCTATTGGAAGTGATAATTAAAAAGGATGTACATCCATATCTCTTCAACTGGCAGTATTGAAGGCACGCTGCCTTCACCTGGCTAGTGTTCTAGATCAGTGTTTCCCAAACTTGTTATCTGGGGACCCATATTTTAAAAATCACAAACCTTTGCGATCCAAGTCAATATTCATTGATTCATAAATCCCTGGAAAACATGATGTGCGACCCATCTGAGGGCCGCGACCCAGTCTTTGGGAAACAATGTTCTAGATGACACTATCAGCCAATCAAATTATATATAGCTTCTCTGTTTACGTTTAGCTTTGCCAGGTGTAGCACCTTTTTTAACATCTAGAGAAATCTAGCACCTACAGATATCCAAAGCCTAAAGACAAATCTAGAACCAGAAAGCTCTAGAACCTAGCAGAGAAATCTGGAACCTAGAGAAATCTAGAAACCAGAGAATCTAGATCCTTGAGAAATTTAGAGCCGTTCCAGCTGAGAGTGTGTCTATAGTCTTTGTCCATGACATAGACTGTATGGTTGGTAAGTGTTTGTCTCCCCTGCATCCACAGACTCCTGTCTCTTTTCTTCTGTTGATAACCAAATCATATAAGTAAATAGTCCAAGTACGAAGTACCTTGAACATTAACCAAATACTCTCATATTTCCTGTTCTACAGAAGTCACATACCTGTATGAAGAAAATGCTTATATGGAGGTAATATATAATATTAAAAATTGTCCTGTGTGCAGGGCGAGGAAGATGTGCCTCCAAGACCTCCTCTACCTCAGCTGTACAGTCCTGAAGAACATCCTCCTGCTGTGCCACCGTTGCCTCGGGAAACCACAGTCATCAGACACACTTCAGTACGTGGCCTCAAACGACAGTCAGACGAACGCAAGAGGGACAGAGAGATTGGCCAGTACACTAATGGAGACAGTAAAGTAAGCACTGTACACCATAACGACTGTGGAGTTCACACGAAGGGCTGGGATTCAGGGTCTCCTCGGCATCTCTGTTTCCAGGTGGAGCTCAGGCCTTTCCTGAGCGATCCAGAACTTATGGGAGCTGGAGACGGCTCCAGTCACATCAGTGTCGCAGCATCTGGACGTGACGGAGGTTATCAGACGCTACCAAGCAGAGGTTTGTGTTAAAAAAACATTCTCCACCAGCTGTTTTTTTTTCAATGTCAGGTTCAGATCTGTGTACTCTCGTCATCTTTTCCTCAGGCGTTGCTGGCTCCTCACTAAGATTCAGTCAGTCTTCAAGCATTGCGTCGTATGTGACCCTGCGACGAGCATCATCAGGTGGTGCTGTGACGGTATGGTTCAGACTCAGGTGTTGTGTGTCCACATCAGGGTTTTTGTTTGTGCTTTTCATCCATGTTTAATTTAAACTTTTCTTATTTTATTTTTAAATGAAAGTATTTTGCCATTTCTATTTGACACTATTTTCTACTGTATGAAAGTAAAATAGTAAGAAAAAAGAGCAGAAAGTAAGAGCTTCATCCCTTTATTTTTGCTTTTACAAAGGTAGGTCCAGATTTATTCAATCTTTTTTTTATAAATCAGAGCAAACATTAACATTTCTAACCAAACATCAATAGAAAAATGTTGCTATTATTTCCAAACTTTCTGTTTCCTTTTACCAAAATTACATAAACATTTAACAGGAACTCATTGTATTCCAGATCTAAGGCTGAGAGGCAGGTGTTGAACTAGTGTTAATGACATCACACAGCATTCCACAAAGAAGGAATTCTCTGAATAAAGTCAGATTTCTAAATCAAGCAAATGTAGAGAAATAGCTTTGATAATTTTTTCTTCTTAGAACCTTTTGACTTACACTATATAGACAATGATATAATTTCGGATTTACTTTAAAGCTAAATGAATTAATAAATATATGCTGATAGTGTCTCAGATTTCAGCTGTTATAATTTCTGACTTTTACATCTCAGTCGACTTGTTATTGAACCTCCTCCTGACATTATCAACTGTAGGTTTTTTTGACTTACACTATATAGACAATGATATAATTTCGGATTTACTTTAAAGCTAAATGAATTAATAAATATATGCTGATAGTGTCTCAGATTTCAGCTGTTATAATTTCTCACTTTTACATCTCAGTCGACTTGTTATTGAACCTCCTCCTGATATTATCAACTGTAGGTTTTTCCTCCCTGTTTGTTTTTTTTTTTTTCTTCATTTGACTCTGTTACCTTCCGCTGCACCCTCTGCCCGTGTTATCAGCTCTCTTCCTCCCACTCCTCTCAGGAGAGACCAAAAAGTGCCTTGGAGCGTCTGTACTCTGGAGAGCCGGAGCAGCAGCAGCAGAGGGGGAAGATGAGTGCTGATGAGCAGCTGGAGAGGATGAAGAGGCACCAGAAGGCTCTCGTCCGTCTGCGTAAACGCACCCTCAGTCATGGAGACCGCCACGGTTCTTCATTGCCGCGCTCCTCATCCTCGCGCCCGCTCTCGGCAGACCTGGGATCAGTATGTTACTAGAACACTCTCATGCATGACGACAAGCACCAACCTGCCTGGTGGTCTGCAGTTAAAAAGCACAAATATTAAAGACTTCATAGAAATACACGACATGAGTACAGTGTTGTAGCCGTGCAGACATAACAGCTTATTAAATGGATGTTGTTTTTAGACTTAAATATAAATTCTTAAATTTAGAATTAAATAGTGACCTTTAAAGGTATAAACCTTAACAGTATTAGCTTTTAGCTAAATGGTGGAGTACGATGGAATCTTTAGGCCAATGTTGGGGAAAACACACTTTGGAGCTGCTCCTTTCTGCATGTTGCTATCAACAAAGTTCCAACGGCCAGGTCCATGAGACTAAAGTGGTGATTCAGTATTATTTTAGTGCAATAAGCTCACAATGATTTTTTAACCCTATCAGCAGTGCTACATACCTAACGTCTGTTTGAACATTTATAAAAAAAAAATTTAAAAACGTGATCACCTTTTTTCATACATTAATTATATCTTGACTCCACTACAGATATAACATATTAATTCACTCACATTTGGACATTTGTCATTCAACTCATTTTTACATTTTCTGCATCGCCCCTACTAACACTCTCCTTCCATGACATTGTCGTCTCGTCAGTATACTTTGATTTCCTGGCTATAACAGTAGATCTGTTCCAAATTTCTATTAATTTTAATTCTATAATGCCTGCTTTCACTGATTATAACCATCTATACATTTGTGTTTGTCCTTTGTCCTTGTCTATGTGTGTGTGTGTGTGTGTGTGTGTGTGTGTGTGTGTGTGTGTGTGTGTGTGTGTGTGTGTGTGTGTGTGTGTGTGTGTGTGTGTGTGTGTGTGTGTGTGTGTGTGTGTGTGTGTGTGTGTGTGTGTGTGAGAGAGAGAGTGAAACAGTGCCTCTAATATTTCACTAAACAAAAGCCTAGTAATGCTGAGCTGCATCTTAATCCCGTCCACTCTGCCTAATTATAACATTTTCATGGGATTATATTGTTTCGGACAGAAGGTAATGATTGTTTATGAGCTGATGTTTTGCTTTGGAATTCTGATCGAATGAAAACCTAAATGTTAAACGTGTTTTACTGCAAATTATTTGCACTCTAGTTTTGATACATGGATGTTTTTAAATAAAAAAATAATTCTAATGAGGTCATATTACTACACTGTCTTTGTTGTTGTATTTGTGTATATTTGTATTTAACATGAATGTCTCTGTCTCTGTCTCTGTTCATTAGTGTGCATGAGTGACTCGTTCACTTCAGTGTCATTGTGTCGTGATCCCGTTTAATGGAAAGTTCTGTGGAAGTCTTTGATTTGTGAATCCTGTGTTGATTAGAAGCATGCATACTCACCTGTGCACGCTCCTTCTTTTTTTTTGTTTTTCTCCTATCCATACGCAGCACACACACACACCGACGCACACAGACACTCTCTCATACTGCCGTGAACAGCCGTACTCTTCCCTAAAAGTTTCAGGAAATTGAATATAAAGGCAAGTGAAAGAAGCGCGACTTGATTTATCACAACGTCTCTGTCAGGTGTTTCATATTACAGACGTACGTACTGTATACTGGATAGATGTTTCTTTTCTGTGTGCCGTTCCAGCTGAAGAGAGAGCAGGACTTTGACCTGCAGTTGCTGGAGAGGGCCGTGCAGGGGGAGGAGGCCCAGACAGTGAGGAGCGTCCAGGGAGAGGAGAGACCTCCAGAGCATAACGAAAGACCCCGGTCGCACTCTGACGAATGGCTCACCTATCGCTCCACGGTCACGACACCTCCTGCACACGAGGCCGACCTGGAGCCGCTAGATTATGACGTGGACCTTAGTAAAGAGGTGGGTGATGTCAGCATCAATGGTGTTAGAAAACAGGTAGAACACCTGGTGGGGTGTGGAGCTGGGGCTTTGTAGTTGTAAAAACAAACAAAAAGAGTGAGGAGGTGGATAAGTTTATCTTAATTATGAAATCTTTTACTGTTTAGTCCATGTCAGGATCTGAGGTTCAACCACGGTAAAGCAGGTGCACTAACCTCTTCTTCCACTATGTGGCCCCAAAGATAGAGACACAGGATGTTAACCTTAGCATCTGCTCTATGGTTGTAAGGTTCTTCTTGGCCCCCCATGTCATAGACCAGTGGTTCTCAACCTTTTTCTACACACACACCGACGCACACAGACACTCTCTCATACTGCCGTGAACAGCCGTACTCTTCCCTAAAACTTTCAGGAAATTGAATATAAAGGCAAGTGAAAGAAGCGCGACTTGATTTATCACAACGTCTCTGTCAGGTGTTTCATATTACAGACGTACGTACTGTATACTGGATAGATGTTTCTTTTCTGTGTGCCGTTCCAGCTGAAGAGAGAGCAGGACTTTGACCTGCAGTTGCTGGAGAGGGCCGTGCAGGGGGAGGAGGCCCAGACAGTGAGGAGCGTCCAGGGAGAGGAGAGACCTCCAGAGCATAACGAAAGACCCCGGTCGCACTCTGACGAATGGCTCACCTATCGCTCCACGGTCACGACACCTCCTGCACACGAGGCCGACCTGGAGCCGCTAGATTATGACGTGGACCTTAGTAAAGAGGTGGGTGATGTCAGCATCAATGGTGTTAGAAAACAGGTAGAACACCTGGTGGGGTGTGGAGCTGGGGCTTTGTAGTTGTAAAAACAAACAAAAAGAGTGAGGAGGTGGATAAGTTTATCTTAATTATGAAATCTTTTACTGTTTAGTCCATGTCAGGATCTGAGGTTCAACCACGGTAAAGCAGGTGCACTAACCTCTTCTTCCACTATGTGGCCCCAAAGATAGAGACACAGGATGTTAACCTTAGCATCTGCTCTATGGTTGTAAGGTTCTTCTTGGCCCCCCATGTCATAGACCAGTGGTTCTCAGACTTTCTATACTCTGTACCACCTGAGAAAACATGGAGCTCTCTGAGTACCACCATGATGACCAACATTAGAACATAGCAGCAGAGGCCTTCACTGTTAGCTTCCACCACAGGAGAGATGTTTAGAAATGTTTATGTTTAAATGTTGTATTAATTGTTCATGATATGTTTCAGATTTATTCAATTGAAAATGTAAATGTGAAAATATGAATTTTCCCCATGTACCACTGGTGGTACGCGTACCACAGTTTGAGAACCACTGTCATAAATAATATAATATTCTTTACCTGTGCCCAGTAGATTTCCACTCTGGTTCCATGGTGGTGCAGTATAGAGGTTCTAGGTTTGATTCCAGCTTCATCTAATTTCCTCAAACAAAAAACACATTTATGTTGCAGTTGTCCAAACCTCAGAAAGTGTTGATCCCAGAGCGTTATGTGGACTCGGAGTCGGAGGAACCTCTGAGTCCTCAGGAGGTGGAGGAGCGTCATCGAAAGATGGAGCGTATCAAGAGTATCCTGGCCAGGTCCAGGTCAGTGAAGTATCAACACGGCTTCGAACACCCGACACAGTTTTATTACGTCACCTGCAGTATCGACCATAAACCCCTGAGTATTTCTATCCTCAGTGTTCAGAACATGGCAGCACCGGTGTGTGTGGAGAAGCCAGAGGTTGGACTGGTGGCTCTGGACTCAGCCCTTCAGGAGCAGGAGAGGATCATCACCATGTCCTACGCCCTGGCTTCTGAGGCTTCTCTCAAGAGCAAACTGGTCGCAGGTTAGTTATTAAACATTTTCATGTTGAGTCGAGTGAAAGATTGTTGTGATTTTTTTTTCACCCATTGAAGTGAGTTTGAAAATGTCTTCTCTTCCTAAGAACTTGATAACCACAAACCATCTGCAAATAAAAAGACCCACCTGTCAGTTAGAGTCAGGCCCCGCCTCCTCCCCCCACCGCAGCATCTGAGTGAGATCTTTTGGTTGAAGAAAAGATTAAGAGTTCTGAGAGGTCTTTTAAAATTGCCGGATTGATGAAACGGAGATGAGACATGTGTGAGCAGCAGAGTCAGGCAGCGAGGTCGTCCATTTCTCTAATAAGTGAACATTAGTTCTTGTTAGCGGCGCAGATAGTTTCTAATTGCAGTGCGTGTAGGATCTTTTAGACAGGGGTGGAATTGCCTGATGAGGCCATTTTGTGTGCTGATCAATGACCCAGTCAAACTCTCCTCTCCTCCTGCTCACCGCCGCGGCTGCTTTGAACGCGGCTGTGAACCTGCATAAAAGACACTGCACTCACTTTTCATCTCTTTCATACTCTACAGGCAGGCGAGTTCATTTTCACTGGAGCTGCGGCAGATTGGTGAGAGAGAGAGTTCACACACACACAGACACACACACACACACACACACACGGTGTGTGTCTCTGTCATACGCAGTAACACTCAAGCTGTCAGCATGTGCGGAAGCTTAATATGCACAGTGAGGCAAAGTCAACAATTATAACATTATTTCCAGCAGAGAGAAATGTCACAGAATATATGTGGTGGCATCTTGTCAGTAGAGACTGAATCAATGACTTTTTTCCTCCCTTTGGTGTTAAACTGAGGTACGATGCTGCTGCTGCTGCTGCTGCTGCCGCTGCTGATGCTGAGGCACTATCCAGGACCTAAATTAAAAAGAACTGCTGTATTATACAGTCAGGATGAAAGCAGGGACATTCAACACTACAATTAAATCAGAATATATATCATTAAAAATGTCATGAATCAGTGTCTGCAGATTCAGTAAAATTGTATTTTATAATTTTTTCATAGTTTTTTTTCCCTCTCCTCCAAAATGCGAATATCCAATTTTTCTATTTTTGCTTTAAGCTGGTGACATGTTCAGGTGCTGTGAAGAATTAAACATTTATTGCACTGCCGCGCACAGAATAGTTCAAATGTCGACTAAAAACAGAAATCTGATTAATTTAAATTATTCCTATTATGTGACTGTGGTTTAGTAAATATTGAATTTATATGTCGTTCTTGGAACATGTTACGGTTTATTCCATTTTTATTCGGTTTATTCATTACATTAGCAAAGAAAAGAAAAGTTTTGTTTTAGTAACACAATATTTAACATCTATGTGTGTGTATGTGTGTGTGTGTGTGGGTGTGTGTGTGTGTGTGTCTTCTGTCTGTCATCCTGAATTTGTCCATTTGACTAACAACACTTGTCTTTTTGTCCCTCTCCTCTCCTCATTCTCCTCCCTCTCTCTAGTTCCACCACAGGCTAACTTGCCCTCTCCTCCTCCTCCACCTCCTCTTCCTCTTCCTCCCACTCCTCCTCCTCTTCCTCCCGTCTCTTTGGCTACTTCTCCGTCTCCTCTGAGCAACGGAATTCACTACACATTTGTCTAATCTGAGAATTAAAGTAAGACCCGAGTGTGTGTGTGTGTGTGTGTGTGTGTGTGTGTGTTTGTCATGCTGGTCTAATTCTTCTTTAAGCTGCTGCCTGTGTGTAGTGTTGCCTTGTGTTTTTTTCCACCTCATTCAGTGCACGCTGCTCTGTTGTGATCACAGCAAACTCGTCTGCTGGAGGTTGGGGAAGCCCTGCCTCTGCTCCCATTATAATCAAAACAAACATCTGCAGGCAGTCTGCTCAGCCTACTGTGATAATTGTGTGTAAATTGTTTCTTTTTTTTGTAACTCTGCCAAAATATTTATGGATGGCTGAGGAAAGGAAGGCCTGAAATGAACAGGACTGTTTGGTGCATTGTGTGTAATTAACAAAAGACACTCCCTTTGATTTAGCGCCTTGACAGTTCAGTCGTCAGCACAGCTGCATTCCAATTAGCTCCCCATCTGTAGCCTGGCAGCGATACTCCAGGAAAAGAAGCAGATATCACTGTTACTGTAAATGCAGGAGGAGGTGTCACTTTACTGCCTTATTAAAAAAAAAAAAAAAACTTAGGGGAAACTTCTGTGCACCAGCTACTGCTGACACATTTTTGATTTCTAGACTTTTAGTTTGAATTCAAAGATATCAAGTAGGAAGCTCAGTGATGACACTACACTTATGAAAGTACCCTGTGTGAGTGTAGTGCAGAATGAGAGACAGCCGGAGCCACACTTCCTCCAAGTGGAAGTTTTGTCATGATTAGAATGTTTATGTAATCAAATGTCCACATGAGGGCACGAGTTTACATTTTAACATCCAAGCAGCACGAGGCTTTGAACCTGGAGAGATGTTGTAGCGTCGTATTTGTTTACGTAATAACGACAGCAGGGCCTAAACTACAGAAACATGCTGGGCAGTCGAACGGCAGAGAGCAGACTCCAGAGTTTGCCTGAAGCCAGAAGGAACTTTTAATGCCAAGTAATTAGTAAAGAGCTCTGTAATGACATTAATAAAACCCGCTCAGTGAGTCACCAACACTGTTGGCTGTGCATCCAGTCTAATGATACGCACGTTCTCTGACGTTCTTTAAAGCAATGAGCAGATTTTTTTTTTTAATTATGGAACTTTCATTTTTTGGTGTGAAAAAATACAACCCCACAGCACCATTGATGACTATAGTTTTCGATAACCAGTGACAAACTGTCAGTTCATTTATAGAATATTATCTATATTGTCTTACATGTAATGAGATTTTAGTAATCTAGTTTTTTATTCCTAAATGTAGTTATCATATGGTTTGTCTATTTCTGTAATAGTGAAGACTATAACAAATATGACAAATAGCGTATATATTGCAGTACAAATATATTCTTTATCACTTTTTTGGAGATTCTTTAACACAACACATATTTACATATTTAAATGTATATACAAATATACATAAATAGAAATACAAATTTATAAAAATATATATACAAATATATATATAATTGAGTATCTTATATAAGCATCTTTATTTTATATATATGTACACATATATATGCATTATATATGTTTAAATGTAAATATATATTTTGTACATTTTAAATATATTTTTTTTATTTTAATGTTTTACATTTTTGTCTCTCTGTCCTCACCTCCCAGCTCAAGCGATCTCTGGACACTGAGGTGCTTATCCACACTGACGATACAAACCCCTGGGATTCTTACTGTGGACAAGGGAGAACTTTGTCTGATTGACAGACATTTATAAGTTTCCACACAGCTCTGGAAAAACTGAAGTGAACCGTGTCTGACTGGGGGGAAACTCAGCTGAGGGAGAGAGAGAGAGAGAGAGAGGTGGCTGTGCTCATTAACTGTCTAAAAAATGTTACTCTCATATAAATAAAAGATTTATTTTCTACATGCTATTGCACATTGACGTCTGCAGGACTGTGAATGACTGACTGGCTGACTGACTGGCGTCCACCTACAGTGTGAGCTCAATGAAAACATTTTTAAATCTGTCTTTGTTTTGCTCATTCAGGTACAGATATTAGGATTAGAAGTATTTTTACATTAAAAAACCAGATAGTATTCTTACACCAAACAGCCTGGGATAACACTCGTATGTAACTGTACCGTAGCACTGCCAGTCTCCTTATAGCTTGCCAAAATTAATTAAATTTTTTCTTGTGTAATTGAGAAAAAATAATCTTAAGCTTATTTTCTTTGTGAACGGGGAAGGTTGCCAAATGAAAATTTATAAAAATGGACATTAAAAGGATTAACACAATATTATACATGTACCTATTCATTTCCGAATAGAAATATGTACCGGTAGTTTATATGTAGATAGGAGTAAATGTATGAAATGAAATCGTTTTAATTTTTACTCCTAAATTAACAAAGTGACAACAAATAGAATAATTCTTCCTGCTCCTCTTTTGTAAGACTTTAATTTATTTATCAATTAACCACATCTTAGAGAATTATCTAATTTGTATTGGCTTTTTTCCAACCCAGTTTTACTACATAAGTAATAGTACTCTTTTCATAGCTTTTCACATCTTACATTTAACTGGCCATTTTGGAAGGATTGATTTCAATATCAATGCCATTTTTAATAGCTGTCCTCTATTATGCCTGTCTGTGAATATATGAAGGTATCATTAATATAGAAGTGTATTTTAGTATTTTTGTTGTATGCTCCTGTAAAGACAGTTCTTTTTTACAGGTACTATAGGTTCAGCAAAATTTCCAAATTCGAGGGAACACGTTCTAGCAGTCCAGGTCGTCAGTGCGTCGTGAAGAGGAGAAGCCGACTGCGTTGACCGAAGAGTGCCGGTACTTGAAATTAAGTTGCAAATAATATTTAAAGTTCCGCTGATTTATTCTGAATAAATAACATGTCTGAGGGTTTTGATTATAGTTACCAGAGTTTATGTCCAAATGGTATTTTGGACATTTTAAAAAGATGTGATGGGACCACCTCACACATTGTAAACACCACAGATGGACCTCGGACCAGACTTTGGATGTACCTGGTCCAAATTGCGTGCGGCAGGGACACAAACTTCCATTTCCTTTGATAACAGGTGAGGTCTGGAGCCTAGTGTTGGGTACCTTTTTGATTTTTTTAATATTTTTTAGCAGAAATATATGCAACAGTTGCTTAAGGTGTCTAAATCCGTGGTCCGTTCTTATATTTGAGCTTTTCTTCTAATTAGGCGTGTGTAATATTCAGGCTGAAACGGCCTTTGTACTTCATTATACTTCACTCGTTCATTCATCAAATAAATCTTTATTCTAATCATGTGGAGCGGAAACATACTAAATGAAGACTTTCTTTGAAGCACCACATTGATTGCTGTGTCCTATTACACTTCATTCTTTTATTTGAGAAGGGTGGAAAAAATGAAGCAACCTATGCAGAGCTCAAAGGAGGTGAGGTTTCAATACAAAAAAAGAAAAGAAAAAAGGGCTTCTTGAAGTGTTTCTTCAGTTCAAAGCCATCTCTGTCTCGAAAGAGCATTTTTAATTCTGTGTATTTTCCAGCCGTGAAGTTGGATATTATTAACTCTGGATCCTGAAGTTCAGATTTTATATCTTTAAGTTATGAACTATGTCTCGTTTGCAATTGTGAGAGAAACCTCTTAGAAGATACGACTCAAAAGGAAAAGAGTACAGAGGGTATGTTTTTTCATTATAGGAGGTGAGACTGCCGTCACTGCCGGGCCGTGCAGTTCTCAACAGCATTGGATATTAAGGTTAATATAAATCACTTACTGTGTGTGTGTGTGTGTTTCCGTGCACAACAGTGAGCCGTTGTGTTGCCCTCACCCCCCCCTCCCCCAACCCCCAGTGACATCTTTATCATTAATTGGAGTGTAATTACTTTCCCTGGTCTGCATCCTGGTGTGCTTTGAAAACACCTGAGAGAGGAGCTGCACCTCCCACAGCTACCTCCTCCTCTCTGCCTGCATCTCTCCTCCAGGGGCAGGGAGGAGCCCGCAGTGCCTGCTAGCCCTGGTGGCTAGAAGACCATCGCATCTTCACTTTTTGCTTATTTTGCAATAAAATGGGATGTTTTTTTTTTTCTTTTTCCCCCTCCTCCTGCAAAAGAATTCACCCCCGGACCCTCCACTGAGGATTGTGGCATTTCCATGTATTGACGTTTGGCTGGTGGTTCATATACATTTGTAATGCTAGGCTCTGGACTTCAAAGAGAATGAGAGGAGGTCTATTATGCTAATTTGATCCTGTTCTGTTAAAGGCAATCACAGCCTCCTGCATTTATCCTTTTCTTAATAGCGACTGGCTTCAGAAATGCTTTTTCAGATGGAGAGACATGTGTGTATCCACACACACACACACACACACACACACACA